CATTGCAAGGTATCAATTACCTCCACAAAAATGTAAGCAGATCTAAATGTTATTCATATATATTACCCTAGTTAGGATTCCTTCCTACATGTGCATTTACAGTATGTATATGAAAAAGAATCACTAATATTTTATTTTTTACTTTTGGATTTGAATGATCATATAGGTGATAAATACTTTCATAAAATTGAAAAATTAATTGAAGTTAGTAAAAAGTTAGTGTGTATCATATGTATCATTGTTTTATATATCCTAAGTAAATTCTTGTGTATTTTCAAAACTGGGATTTTCCATTTATTCTGGACATAATGAAACTCAGCTTGAAAATAGTTGACTACAAAGTAGGTAATAGTATTCAACCCTTGAACTTTTTTACAAAATCTAATTGTTTTTTTTTGCAGGGTGTCATTCATAGAGACATCAAGTCCGACAATGTCCTCTTAGGTAAAGATGGATCTGTCAAGGTGACAGATTTTGGATTCTGTGCTAATATTTCAGGAGATGAGAAGCGTCAAACAATGGTTGGAACACCTTACTGGATGGCACCAGAGGTAAACTTTTTTTTTTTTTTTTTTTTTTTTTTTTTTTTTTTGAAACTGCAAGAATGCTTCCTATTGGTATCAGAGTTATGTATTTTCATTTCAGTCAAAATATGTGTAAATATTTTAATTTTACTGATTCCAGGTAGTGAATAGAAAGCAGTATGGGAAGAAAGTTGACATTTGGTCCCTGGGCATTATGGCTATAGAGATGATTGATGGTGAACCACCATATCTGAATGAAACACCATTACGTGCACTTTACCTTATTGCTTCAACTGGAAAACCTATTGTAGCATCCTGGGACAAGCTGTCACCTGAATTTCAGGTAGATTTTTTAATATAATTTTTGTTTGTATATATGCGTAGGGGATGGGAGTTTTCTGGAATCATGTGAATCTGTATCAGTCAATCATATATTGTTTTCAGTATGCATCTCAGCTTTCAGCACAGTGTTGTTAATGTCTGTTAAAGAAACTGCTAGATGCATTTTTTCCTGAAGTTTTTGACGAAGCATTGGTTTTATCTTGCTTTAGATTTGATCTACTGCTTTATCAGACATTGTTGCTCTCTTTTTTTCTGCCCTGTATCTATCTGCCTTGTGCAAGTTGCTGTCTTGCTTTGCATATGATCAGCTTTGATGAAGACATGGAAGCAGATTATTTACAAGGGATAAATGATGTTTGGTAAAGGGGAAGAAATAAAGATAGAGCTGATATAGGTAGTTACTTACTTAGTAATAAGTAAAAACATTTTCCATTAAATTTACAATGAACTTTTGAAAGAGTGGCTATTGAAGAGGTACCAAACCATAAGAGGGAAACTTGATTCTATTGTCAGTTACTGACCCTTTCTCTACCTGACTATTGTATATAATTTATTTAATCTGAATTTATAAAAGGCACTGCTCACTTTTGTTATCATCATAGATAAACATGTTATCTTAGCTCCTGTCATCACTTGATATCTAAACCATGAACTGATAAGATTTCAGAATAATATTACCTATACCTTTATATCACTTTTTAATCATGACTCATTTTTTTTACAAGGCAGTTTTCTCAAGCAAAGAATTTGCTTTATTTACTCCACTCCCCCCAATCAGAATTACTGATCAATTGATCAAGAGAGTGTGTGGAACCACAGCTAACCTTGTTCCCAAAGAAAGATAATCGGATTATAATTCCCATTTTCAGATCACCTATCCTGGTAGTGATGTATTTAATAGTGTGTGGGAAATGTAATTATGGATTGTAGAAAATTAAATTTTAGATATTGGAAATAGTAAATCCGACTAAAACTTCAGTTTTCAAATTATATATATTCTGGTATTAGCATAACTAATTTTGTGTATGAAAGCATAATTATGAATTGATGAAACTGTAAGCTTAAGAAGCACATGCAAGTACTTAAAATTGTCAGCCATATGTTAATATTGATTACAGATAATGATAGAGCCCTGCAAGTTTTATGATTACAGCTTGGGAGGGGACAGTGCCTCCTATATAACCAGGTTTAATGCCTTATCGGCTATTAACTCATTCACCTTGGCTTTATATACTGTCTACAGTAGTTTTTTTGTGAATTTTGTTGTATGGATATAGCCTGATTTCTCAACTCCACCAACCTTACACACAGTATTTGTGTTTTTTTTCCAAACATTTTTGATATCAATAATGTTAATATTCAAATTGATATTAAAGGTTATTAGAATACTAATAACAAAAATGAAGGTGAATGAGAAATTAAAAAAGGACCGGTAAACAGGTGAGATATGTAGGACTACTAATTGATTCCTTTGTGACTAAGCACTTTCCGACTAAGACAATCGATAATGTAATATTATGGTGGGCATGGCGTCTACTCTTGCTATCCAAGATGATTCTGTTCTCAACTCCACCAACCTTACACACAGTATTTGTGTTTTTTTTTCCAAACATTTTTGATATCAATAATGTTAA